AAAACAATTCCACTCCTCGGTGGCCAACTATCTGAGAAAGTCAACATCAGAGCTAGCCTGAAATCATGATACTGGTTGGGGCAAGCAACAAAACTAAAGACCACCCAGAAAATTAATAGGAAAATCCAAGAGATGAGATGGCCAAAGTGGGCCTTAGTAAGATTTCACTTATCCCTTGTGACCAAATAGGCTACATTCATGTACAAGGCTGCCCAGACCCAGGAAAGACTGAAGAGGGCCCAAGTTAGCTAGACATCCATGGCTAAACATGAGGCCTTGCAAACACATTTTTAAAAAAGATGCCAGGCTGACTTGCAAGCTGCTTGGATTTTGAAAACATTCCCCAAGCTACATACAGACCCATCCATAAAAGAGGAAATCCTGACTGGCTCAAGGTATTTGAGCACATGCTCTGATAAATCACTGGCTGAGCACTAAGCTATGCTGACCCTGGAGGAGATCCCTAGGAAGCCAGGCTTAAAGAAAAAATAAGAATTAAAAATGTAAGTACTGGGGACAGCCAGTTAGCTCAGGTGGTTAGAGCGCAGGGTGCAGTGCTCATATCACCAAGGTTGCCGGTTCGATCCCCACATGGGCCACTGAGGTGTGCCCTCCACAACTAGATTGAAACAACAACTTGAATTGGAGCTGATGGGTCCTGGAGAAACACACTGTTCCCCAATGATCCCCAATAAAAATAAAAATAAATTTTTTTTAAATGTAAGTACTGAGCAGTGGCCACATACTGTGAAGAAAAGGCTCCACACAAAGTTCAGGCAAGTCAAGAAATACACAGCAACAACCACCCCTGGCCATGGGTGAGGGAATAGTATCAGAGTCCAGAGTTGTTGAAACATGCAATCTAAAATGTCCAGTTTCTAAAACGTCCAGTCAAACTAAAAAACTGTGAGACATACAATGAAAATAAGAATGTGTAACCCATACACAGGAAAAAGAGCAATCAATAGAAACTATCCTTGAAAGGGCTCAGATGTTGGACTTAGCAAGACTTCAAAAAGCAGCTATCATGAGGGCCAGCTGAGTGGCTTGCTGGTTAAGAGTTGGCTTGGGAGCGTGAGCTCTGAGCAGCAGGGCCGCCGGTTCGGATCCCACTTGGGCCAATGACGCTGTGCCCTCTACAGCTAAGATGGTGCACAACAGCTTGACCTGGAGCTGGGCTGCTATGAGTCGCCGGCAAAGGCATAGGCTACAGTGGGGCTGCCATAAGCTACCATGAGTGGCCGGCAGGCAGCGTGAGAGGCCGGCAGCCTGCGTGAGCCGCCGTGAGCGGCCATCCAGAGGCCAGCAACTGATCTGCCTCACCCGGGAAGAGCGCAATGATAATACCTACATGGGCCAGTGAAGCAACATCCTTAAGACTGAAGAACGAAAGAACAGCAACTTGTCTGTTCCCCTCCCCCAATCCCCCAATAAAATCTTTAAAA